TGCTTAAACAACAGAAATTTTTTTTTGCACAGTACTGGAGGCTAGAAGTGTAAGATCAAGGTGTTGGCAGGTTTGGTTTCTTCTGAGGCTTCTTTGCTTGGTTTGTAGGTAGCCCTCCTACTGCCTCTTCACTTGGTATTTTTTCTGTGAACGCATCCCTGGTGTCTCTTCCTCTTTTTATAAGGACACCAGTCACATTGGATTAGAGCTCCAGCTTGGTGGCCTCATGTCACCATCATCACCTCTTTGTTGTTGTTGTTGAGGTATAATTGACAAATAAAATCGTAAGATACTTAAAGTGTACATTCCCCCGCCAAGTTAATTAATAAATGCATCGCCTCAAGTATTTATCTTTTTTTTTTTTTTTGGTGAGAACATTTAAGTTCTTTTAATTTTTTCTTAATCTCATATATTTACTCCCATGCTTTTATCTTTTTGTTCTTTGGTATTAGCCTTTTTGTCTCCTTTATCTCAAGTGTAATACATTCCTTTTTTAAAAGTTTACCTCCTTTTATTTCTTAATTTTGCTATTCATACTTTTTTCTTAAAATCATATTTTTTTCTTATTTTTGTCTTTTTTTTATTTTGTTTGTTATCCTTTCATTCTAATTTAAATTCCTATTGACTTAATTTTTTCATCTCTCTTTTCTTAGGCATCGATTCTGTCCCTTCTCTTCCCATACCCCTCATGGTTTGATTTTATAAGGGCTGGAAGGATATGTAATCCTCAGGAGGTGGTACCGATGGACAGTGTCATTCAACAAACAGGGAAGATCTGTCTCTCCTCCTCCTCCCGTAGTCTCTAAATAGATTTTATATGTCTTTGTTTTGTCTTGAGCCCTAAAATTACAACTTGGGGTATATTGATTAAACCATTTCCCAGGATAGTGATGATTTGCTTGCTTTCTACAGATGGCACATGTGAACTTTTGGATTGGCTTTTGGACGGCACATACCACCTATGTGGGAAGCTGATTGTTCTGAAACCTATGGTCTGTAACATGGATTTTGTTACTCAGACAGATGCATGTAATAGCTCTGCTGTGGAACAGATGAGCTGTTTCAGAACCTTTCTTGAGGTTTTTTTCCTAGCTCAGAAAAGGCAAAAATATCTACCCTTCATAGATATTGTGTTAGTAGTGCATATAAGATATTCTGCATTGTGCCTGGTATGGTAGTCACTCAGATGTGGGATAAGCCAGGCCAGCCATATGTCATCCAGAGGAAAATAAGTGAGTGTGTAGATTATTTCTGGAGTGGGTCTCCCCTAGCAAAGCCCAGAGTTCGAGGGAACTATGGGATGTTAAGAGTCTTGCTGGGAAGGTCACATGGCTCTGGGTTCATGTCTAGGCTTCTGGCCTTTCTCCACTTCGGCTGTCTGTAATGCCCACATACTAAGGTAAGCATGGTTTTAACAATTTGGGGATGGTGGTATAGAGGAAAGAATCCCTTTACTACAGAGATTCAGCTCGTAAGACATAACTTGATTTTCAGGAATATACAGTGTGAGAAAAATGCCTGTTAAAAATCAAGGATTTTTATCTGTAGTTTGGTCCATCTTCCTCAGCTGGGTTTTGGGATGATTGTCTCACTGTGAGGGCCTCCTGAGCTGAACTTTTTAAGCTCAGGGATTTTATCTCACGGACTGGCAAATCTCTGCTTGAGGCTCCCACCATCTGACCTGGCCCCCTAGGGACGTCTGCCTCTTGTCCAGTGCCAGAATCCTTGGGAAGAGGAGTCCATTCCATTTACTGCCACAGGCTCTGAATCTCTCAGGATGTGATGGGGGTAGGTGGTGTGTGTGGCACGGAGAGAAGAGCTGTTTCTGGTCTCTGGCTTCCCAGGACTCCCTGTAGGATCACCTGACCACTGACTTTCTGTGCTTTGTTCCTGCAGACCACTGGTTCCTAAGCTTGGTTGCATACTAGGATCACCTGGGCCTGGATCCCACCCCCATGGATTCTGTTTTAATTCATCTGGGGAGTGGCCTGGACATCTGTTTTTGTTTTTTGGGTTTTTTTTTTTTTTTTTTAAAGCTCTTCAGATGAATCTGATGTGCAGCCCAGCTTGATTTGTACCGTACTGCTTTCATGCTTCCCTGGTCAGATCCTGCCTGTGGCTGGAACCCCTTGTTTGCTTCGTTTATCCCCCTCATGATATTTCCTGCAGACCTTCATCGGGTTGGGGGCTCAGACGGAGGCAGACAGGAGGGCCCTCCAGCCCCGTGCTGGCTTGAGCAGCTCTGTCAGCATCTGTTTCACAGATTGCCCTTTGATTCTAGAAAGGCGTTCTAGAAAGTTTGTAAGCCATTGGGGCCCAAGTCACCCTTTGTGTGTCAGAGCAGAGCTACTAGGACTGCTTTCTGAAGAGAGCTTGCCTGTACTTTGTTCTGCCTTCTTGTGGCTAACCAACTTAATTTTCAAAATGCGTCACAATCCTTGCCTCTTAATTAACTGTAAAGCAAAAAAATCTTCCCGTAATCGACTGTGCATTAGTAACTGCATTTGAGTTTCTTGCAGATTTTCACATCAAATTTAAAAATTTCCAGTTCTCAAAAGCTTAGTTCTAGAATGAACAATCCTGGAGGTAGCCTATCATCTATCTCTAGTTCTCTGCCGTGCCTTTTTGCATTTTTTGTGTGTGAGGTTGGGGGCTGCTGAACACTTTCTTCAAGATAGTTGATGCGGCAGGTGAATCAGATGAAGCTGAATAAAAGGAGCAGGGGCTGAGTCCCCGTTCTTCCCACCCCACCCCCCCGCCCCAGCCCCACTCCCAAATCCCTCACCTTACTTTCACACACAGAAACCAGGTCAGTCATGACTGCCTCATTTCTCCTTTGAGTCAAGGTAGCCCATCAGAGCTTCCCACTTAGACCTCACTGTTGTGGCCACTTGGTTATATTTTTTCTTGGACTGTGATTGTGGCTTTTATTATGGGATGTTATTTAAAAAAAAAAAAAAGGTTGTTTTTTGGAATTTTGAAAATTAAAAAAAAAAAAAAAAAAAAAAAATTCCAGGGATGTTGTTTGCAATACTAGCCCCTTCAGAGACTCCGCTGCTGAGCATGTATGGGAGAGATCCTTCTCAGCCTGGTGTATTAGGAAGTGTATTCCTCCTCAGCTGCTGATTCCCGTTATGCCATGGACACTCCAGTCCTTGTAATTGCTCAGACTTCCCTTCCTGCCAAGCAGATAGGAAGCTCTGTGTCAAATCTTTGGCTGCCTTGAAGTAATGTCTAGTGCATGAGAGAATGTAATTTTGTGCACTAACTTTACCTCAACTCTATTTCTTTTCTTAAAATTATTATCAATTTGGCTTAATTTCTTCATTCAGTTTTTTTTTCTTGTAAAATACGCATCCTTGTTAGCCCTATCATCCTTTTGAGAATGAGCTCATGTACCAATAAGTAAATAAATATTTTAAGAAACTGCCCTTTTGATATACTCTTCCTACCTCAGTGTTAGCTCTTGACTTTGCTCTCTTCCCTAGGTCTTCTGACTGGTCCTACTGCCTTGGTCCGCCTCCTGTCTGCAGCCCCTCATCTGCGGGGTCGAGCCTAGCAGCTCAGGGTGGATGGGCTCTATTAGCAGGAACTGCCTCCATTTCCTGACCAATATCCTGTGGCTCAAGCCCCTCCCACTCCCCTGTACTTCTGTAGCTCCATTTTGTTTTGGTTTTGTGTGTGTGTGTGTGTGTGTGTGTGTGTGTGTGTGTGTTTGCTGCTGGGCCTTTGCTCTCCATTTCCACTGATCTGAAGCCCATCTCCCTGCTTTCTCTGCTGAGTCGGTTTCTTCTATGAACCCTTTGCTGATCCCCTCTAGGCAGAGTCCACTGCTTCCTGGATGTCACTTCCTCCCCTGGTGCACGTGTCTGGTTGACTAACCAGGCTGTGGCTCGCCTGGAGGCACCTTTGTGCAAATTAGAAAAAGGCACCCGCCCCTTCCTCAAGTCACTTTCTAGAATTTCAACTGTTGGAAAACTGTCTTTTTAATAAATAGCCGTCTAAGATGTTTAACCTGGAAATGGCAGCCTGCGAGGATTGTGCTGCACTGAACTGCACAGTTGAACTTGATGGCCCTTTTGTGAATCATCCAGATTCCCCTCAGCACTGTTTGACCAGAGCAGGCCCTCTGCAGCCATTTGCTAAAGAAAAGAAAGAGTGAAAGTACAAGTACATGCCATGTTTTTATCACAAAAGATAGTAGGAAAGGCCCTGAACATTATGAATATATTCAGAGACATACTTATTTTTTACATTTCAGTGTTTCTGAAATCAGCAGGTGTCTTAAAGTCACTGTATCATGGTGGTTCAGAGCACAGACCCCAGGCCAGACTGCCTGGGTCTGAATCCCAATTCTACCACATAGACAATACGCTGTGACTCTGGGCACTCTGCGTCGCCTCTCTGTGCCTCAGTTTACTGATCTGTTAAATAGGGATGATAACCGTAGTTCCTACTTCATGGGGTGATTGGGAGAATTAAATGAATTACTGTATGTACAGTGCTTAGAATATAGGTGCCAAGCACCTCATAGTGAGAGATATGTTACCTATTATCATTCTTATTAAAGTCTGTGCACACACTTAATACACTGTTGTTTCTTTTTAACCCTGAGAAACTCTTTAATTCATGGTGTATAGCTTCTATTGATAGCGTCTCATTTTGGTGGGCGGCTGCCTGGCCCCAGGCTTATAAGCACTGTGGTCAAACACCTGCCGCGGGTCCTGCCCTTCCCACACCAGTTTTCTGATTGCTGCAAGAGATACATAGCACACACACAGGAAACAGCAGGCTTTGTTGTCTCCTCTTAATAGGGCAGAAGAGAAAGGGGGGGAAACCAGGGCCTTTATAGACAAGGCTTGTTTTGAAATTTAAACCTAACTTCTTATTTATGTTGCAAGGCTTGGATTGGTAATAAATCTTGGCTGTTTTAAAACTGGAAATCAGAGAGAATTGGGTTTGAAGAGTGATTTTAATGTAAAATCTTTATCTAATTGCAGAGCAACTTTCCTTTGATGATTTTCAAGAAAGCTGTGCTGTGAAGTGGCAAAGGTAATGAATGTTCTGGGGCCATGTTCCCCATTAGAACCCGTCAGAGTATTCTCAAGTTAGACAATAGATGTAAGTTTTCCCTCAGCAATTGTGAGTTTTTCCTGGTCTCTCGTGTCCGCCTGTGACTGTAACTTCACATGAGAGATGGGGTGGCCATTCTCTGCATTGTTTCAGGACACTTTTCCCCCCATGCCTCCTGCCAACTTTAGAAACTGCAGCCTTGTGGGGAAGTTCTATGTGAGTCATGCTCAGTGCCCCACCCTCCTGAACTGTCCTTCACATTAAGCAAGATCTGGTTCATGCATTTTTTGTTTGGAGATGCTCTGACCATTTTCATTATGAGACAGAATGGCTTTTCCCAGATCACATTGCTGTAATTGACTTACATGCAACTTTGATAAATATTCTTACACGCTACCCAGCACCGTCAAAACTGTCACAGCAATCCTACTACATGTGTCTGGGGTTTCAGCGGCTTTCTCTTAGTTGAATAAAACTGGGTATAAGTAAGTTAATACAAGGATCATCTATAGCTTCACCCTCCCTAATTTGATATGTTGATGAAAATCCTTTCCATACATAAACCTCAGTTTGATGTTATTTTTGTGTGGAACTGGTAAACTTTAGCCCTGTCTGAGGGTGTATTTAGTTCTCAGTTCCCAGAAAGAATATCCACATGAGGAACTTTGTGAAGAACAGGCCTTCTTATGGGTTCATGTCCCTACAGGTGTCAGAAATGAGAAGCAGACTGTAGTTCTTACGCTCCGTGTTCTAGAAGGTAAAGGAGGGATGGTGAGAACATACAGATACCTTGACGCAAAGGTCCGGCTGGCGGAGGACCTAGTATTATGCCCAGTTCTCTTGCACGGCGATGCCTTGGGCCCCTGTATGTCCCATCAAAGGTTTTGTCCTAAAGAAGCACATAAAATCGAAGGTTAAATCTTCACATGGGGACATAAACACTTCATCTTTCCCTTTATATAATAAACTGGGATTTCTGTCTCCGTCTAGAATCTCATTTCTTTTTGGAGAAATACCAACAAAGACAGAGGAATTTACCTAAATCTCACGGAGGGTGAGGGTGCCCCGATGCAGCATTCATGGTCGAAGCAAACTGGAAGCCTACAGAAAGAATCTGACTCATAGGCATTTTGTTGGGGTTTTTTTGTTTTTTGTTTTTTGTTTTTTTTTTTTTTAGTTGGTTGTCAACATTTAGAATTAGAACAGTTTCCCATAAAAGACCTCTTGAAATACTGGAAGATCCGTTCAGATTTGGCCCACATTAACCATGGTCAGCTGGAGCCGGGTTGAAGCTGTCCCTTGGCTGGGCCATGCACTCCTCACTTTTCAGTGTCTGCTCTCATTTATGCGACTTGTGTGGTCCTGTGGGCATTTGAATGGTGACCCGGATCGAAGCCAGTGTCCTACTCTGTTTTATGGCCGGGTATCTCACGGCTTCACAGAAAGGCCCTGGCCAGGTGTGAGCAGTGGTTACATGGCCGCCGGGAAGGAGGCTAATGGGTGCCATTGAGGCCCAGGTGCTGCTCCAAGCCCCCCCCAGGCCTTCAGGAGACAGGCGTTAAGGCCAGGGTGGGTGTGGTGTGCTGACTCGGCTGAGCTGGCTCCTCTCCATCTCTTCATTCATCCTGAAAGTCATGACCACAGTTTCCTCATCCAGGGGGTGGGACATTTTTCCAAAATATGAAAGAAAGCAGCCAGTGACCACGCCGGCCCATTCGTAGGCTCATCAGACCAACTATTGCTACAAAAGGATAAGCTTCCTGTTTACCAGCCGGCGTGAGACAAAGTGGTTGTGCTTCCTGGCCACGCAGGACTTGGCACACAGGCTGGGTTCTGTCCGAAAAGACAGCAGGGCTGAATGCTTGCTCTGTGCTCAGCCATCGCCCCCACGGCCTGGGTCCTGGATGTGGGCCACTCTCGGGAGGGCACTTTTGCTTTGGCTCCAGAACCAGGCCTGGCTTTCTGAAAGGAAGCAAACAGGGAAGGTGGCCTCGCCTCCTGCCTGGCTTCCTCTGTAGCTTTCCTTTCTCTGTGGGGCCGCATCCAGGCAAAGGCCCTAGGCAGAAACCTGAATGTAACAATAAATTCATGTCTTTTTTGTTTTCAAGTCTCCAGGAAGCAAAATGCCATGGTCTCTGGGGAAACTGGTCTTTTATTCCAGCGTGGTGGCCAGTGGGACCTGCACCCTTACATATTACCTGATACAAAGTAAGTATCCAGCAAACCAAGCCGCCCCAGGCAGGCTTCCTCCCAGTCTCGCACCCCTGCTCCTCCAGCAAAGGCAATACTTCAGATGCTTTCAGCAGATTAGAGAGAGGAGGAGAGGCTGTTTTTAGCAGCCGGCACACCATTCCCGTGGGCTCTAGCTTCCTGCTCATCCTCTGGCCCTAGTTTCTCCTGGAGCTCCACGTGCATGTGAAAGGACCAGGCTTCGTTTGCATCAGAAGCCTTGTAAAAAGCAAGAGGGGCTTTCACTCCAGTGCGCACACACGAGAGATCCCTTCAGATTTCTGAGATGATATAAAGAAGAGAGGGAAGGGGAGTACCAGATGGTTCACAGGTGGGGAAAACTGGCTGTTTCTCAAGTGTTGTCAGCCTGTTTGCCCTGCCGTTCTCTGCTCTTGACTGAGTGGAGGAGGGGACCTTGAGCAAGGGACTGTGGTGAGAGCAGAAAATAAAAGCAGAGTCCAGGATGCAAAATCCGGACAGAAAGCCGCTTCCAGCCCCACTGCACCCAGATTTGAATTTGTAAAGATGGGCCACAATTACTGTGGGCAGCCAAGACTTTTAAGGTCATTTCAGTGCTATTGGTTGCAAAGCAGCAGCAGTTTTTTTCTAGACTGACTTTCTTTGAAGATCCTTTATGCCTGCCCAGCTTGGCTTCTCACCCTGACTCTGTGCCATTTTCACTTCCTGCCAGGATGTGCGTATCACCAGCAGACCGGCAAAGAGAGCTCAGTGGCCTCTGCGTACATTCTTCCCCACCTTCCTTCGGAGTTGGCCCACAGGTCCCTGAGTCTTGAGGTGGCCTGAGATGGGCACTGTCAGGGATCATTCAGACTGGAACACCTCCGTCTCCTCTCCCCTCTGCCTAAGGGATGGGGACAGGGCACAGCTCCATTCTGTGGGTCCGGAGACTGCCAGCCTTCCCCTCCCGCCTGAGGAGGCTGGGGTCGTCCGGTAGAGACAGCTGAATCTCTGCACTGGCTGTGTGGCCTCGTTGGGGGGTCTCTCACCTCAGTTATCTGTGTGATGGGGGGTAATATCAGTTACCTGTGCATGAGGTTGTTTTATAATAAAGCTCACAACCTGTGAGGTACTGAGAATTATGAGATGTATGAACTATTGAGGACAGTGTCTAACCGTGGAAATCTGGACCCAGCTTCTGCCCCCCCTTTCCCTGTCTTGGCTGGCACCCGTTCACACCTGCAAGCCCCTGCAAGCCCACTGCTGGGAAGCAGCCCAGGAGGAGCCTTCTCCCTGGCATCTCTAGGCTCAGGCTGTCTTTCCCTTCTATCACTGGGATGGGGCCTGCAGCAGGGAAGCTCTTGCTTGTGGCCTGACCGCAAGCCCTACTTGGGAAGCCTACCCTACAAGCGCAGCTTGTCTACCTTCCACCTTCAAAGAGATGCTTCCTGGAGTTACTAGTAGCTTTTGGGCCAAGAGGTGTATGTACCTGAGACAGAGAAGTTTAAAAGCTTTACCTACAGGAAATGTTGCCTTAAATCTAAAAACTTTGACAAGTGAGCATTTTCAGTGTCTGTTTCTTGGCCCGGGGGTTTTTGTTGTTGTTGAAGTTGTGGTCTGTCTGATTTTATGCTGGTTTATCAGGACCTTCATCTGAGTGGAAGGAACAGTGTTTAGAAGTCCAGAGTCATGGGTTTGGGCCCCAGCTCTGCCTCAGACTAGCCGTGTCACTTTGAGCGAGTCATGGAGTCATAGGGCTTTAGAACTGAAAGGAAAGCTAGAGAAGATCCAACCCCTTAGATGAACAAATGAGGCGGGAAATGAGAGATGGAGAAACTGAGGCACAGAAAGATCAAGTACCTCGCTCACGAGGTACTTATCTGCCACGTTCCCGCAGGTCCTGACTTTCTCTCAAATGGATAGCTTACAGTTAACCGTCCCTAATTATTTTTCCATCCAGAAATTTCACACTTGTTTCTGTTTCCATGCTGTACATGAATTGTATCCTCTAACTTTCTACAGAGAGTCTGTCTGACCAAGTTTCAAACAGAAAAGTAAATGTAACAACTGTCTTTCTCCTTTAGAGGCTTTTTCCAAGGCTTCCTATTACCAGCAGGCATTGGAACAGCTGCATGGCCACCCCGAGGCCCTGGAAGCCCTGGGCACTCCCCTCAATGTCCACTATCTCCGCCTCACCGACAAGTACAACTTCGTGGACATTGCTGAAGCCCAGGTAACGTGCTTCCCTTGCAGCCCACGGGCTGGGTGCCTGCGGAAGTCGGGGAGAGGGCTGCCTTCATCCAGGGAGAGTCTTGGAAGGAGCTGGAGTAAGGATTCGGGATGAGAAAATCCACTAAGTAAAGCTGCGACTAGGCATTACTGAGCACCTTCTATAAAAGCAATACGGATAAATTTATTCTCATATATTTGTCTTCCTTTCTGAGGAATCAGTGTGGCGGGGAAGGCGGTGTTCTGGCTCGGGTCACCATCTTGAACTGCCGGTTGTAGGGAAGTGACCATGGTGGGGGGCAACAGCTTCAGCTTTGAACTTGAAGCACATCTGCAGCCAGTCAGGGCTCGTTCAAGTGTGAGCAACTCTTTAAACTGTAGTTTTCTCATTTACTTGCATTGCTTCCATGGGATGTCAGTCCCATTTTCTCAGTTTTGTCTTGTCTTTTCTAGTTCAGCTGGTAAACTCACCTGAATACGAAACGCTCTTACTCTTCTGTTTAACAAACACGTTTTGAGTGCGTGTCAAGTTAAAGGAATGATTCTGGGCTCGGTGGGGAATACAGAGATGCCGAAGGCTTTCAAGGGCTGTAGTTTAAAACTTCCAAGGAAGGCCGGGTGAAGTAGACGCTGTAGTAGTGGCCCAGGAGGGAGCAGGTAGCAAGCTGGGATATTGGTGTAGAGAAAAGGAGTGCCAGGCTGAGGAGGAGCATGCACGTGAAGGCATGTGGCTGCGTTCCCTGCCAGTGTGAACTCGGCGGAGCTGCAGGCTGCCGGGCAAGGTGCAGGCAGAGAGCATGGGCTGTGCTGCTGGGCCGTGACATCATCGTGGGAAGTGTGCACACTTGATTCTGGGGCCAGCAGAAGCCATGAAGGACTTTAAGGATAAGAGTGAGACGCTCTGATCTAGGGGTTTTTTTTTTGTTGTTGTTGTTTTTAGTAATGTTTTTAATGGGAATAGTTTCATTGGGCTTTTTTTTCTTACAAAAGCCATTCATGCTCAAGATTTTGATAAAAATAGTTGATCTAGCTTGAAAAGAAGGTAAATGCATGCTGATTGACAGTACCCAAGGACCAGGCACAGGGAACTGCCTTTCGGAAAGCAGTGTGGCCATGCAGGTGTGTAGCGGTGAGAGCATGAACCAGAGCTGTGGCTTGGTTCTATCAGGAGAGGGGTGGGTCAGAGGTCACGCTTTAGTGCCCGACAGGGAGGAGTAGACAGATGGCAGTACCACTCCGTGAGAGGAGGAGCCCAGGAGGAGAAAAGGGAGGGGGCGGGCAGATCTAGGGTGCCCACTGCGGGCCACATGGCGTCAGGTCTTTCACACCATGTGGTATGGCTCCTCTGTGTGTCCCCATTGGCCGGATCCCCACAAGCACAAGAACCTGGAAAGGCCAAGGGTGGGGTCTGGCTGTTCACCGTGTGTCCAGCACAGAGCACAGAGCCTGGCTTTGATGCTCAGGAAGGCTGCAGGCACCTCAGCTGAAGGCTGAAGGTTGATGCAGCATCAGTTCTGTGGTCTGGTGCCCTGATGAGTGGTTGACACCATGGGGGCTGTGCTGGGGAAGCTCTGCTGGTCGGGCCCAGCTTCCCCTCTGGCCCAGCATCCTGGCCCACGCCGAGAGTGTGGTGCCGAGAGCACTTCACCCTGGGCTTCCTGCGGAGCCATGGTGGTGTTGGCTGTGGTGCTGGCTTTGGGCTTCTGCTGCTTGGTGGACACGGTGGCTCTGGAGTGACAGGAGGTCAGGGTTTGCTGCCCCGGAGCCGCCTGTTACACCAGCTCTTGTTCTTCGGTTTATGGAGCATGTGCGACATCTTTTCGGCACTCTTTACTTCCTTCCTTTACACCAGCTGTTTGTGTCTACAACACATGCCGGTTCCTCCCACAGTCCCGTTCGTGGCTCGTGTATTTTGTCCAGAGCTAAGAAGGGCCGGTGGTTCATGAGGTAGTTGTTGTACTGAATGTATGTGCGAAATAGTTACTACCTACCCACATTTTGGTGTAGCGGACGTCCAGCTCTACTCTTTGGCAAGGCCTGGCCGGTGAAGAAGCAAGTCCGTGCAGCGCCTGGTCAGCCCCCAGAGGCGCAGCTGTCTGAAGTGCAGACATTGACCCCTCATGTTTGCTGCTCTTCATAATCCTACTTGCTTCTGTCCTTCCCCCCACCTTTCTTTTGTTTTCTTTTAGAATGCGGAGATGCTCAGTCGGGGCTCTGTTGCTTAATTTTATTTTATTTTCATTTTTTAAAGCCTTTTTTTTTTCTTTTTTCTTTTTAAGATTTTATTTATTTGACAGAGAGAGAGACAGCGAGAGAGGGAACCCAAGCAGGGGGAGAGGGTCCAAGGGAGAAGCAGGCCTCCCGCGGAGCAGGGAGCCCGGTGCGGGGCTCGACCCCAGGACCCCGGGATCATGACCTGAGCCGAAGGCAGACCCTTCACCGACTGAGCCCTCCAGGCTTAATTTTATAATCCCGAGAAGAGCTGTGGCTCTGTTCCAAAAGTGGAACCTTGAGGAACTGCCTTAGTGTGATTAGGTGACTGCTTATTCACGTGGGGTATGGAGCCACCATTCCAAAGCCTGTGTCTTCTGTAAAGTGTGTTTACATAAATGAAAGAGGGAGAAAAAACACAAAAGTTGTGTGTATAAAGCAAGCAGTTCTTTCTCTTGGCGGCAGTTTGGAGCGGGTGAGATACGCCATCTTTTAGCTTATGAGAGGTCAAAGTACGTACCCCCAAATTTCCTGGTAATAGCTCCTCGTTTTAAACCGTGGATTTTTTTTCTCTTTTATTATGAAAAGTTTCAAACAGACAGAAAAGATAAAAGAATTCACACTGTGGCACCCATGTAACTGCTACCTGGATTCTACGATCAGAGTTGATCCTTGAATGACACTGATTTGAACTGCATGGGCCCACTTAATACGCAGAGTTGTTTCCATACAGTACAGTACTGAAAATGTATTTGCTCTTCCTTATGGTTTTCTTAACATTTTTTTCCCCTAGCTTACTTTATTGTAAGAATACAGCATAGAATACATATAACACACAAAGTATGTGTCACTCGACTGTGTATGTTATTAGTAAGGCTTCCAGTCAACAGCAGGCTATTAGTAGTTAAGTTTTGGGAGAGTCACAAGTTAGATGCAGATCTTGAAATCTTGTTCAAGGGTCAGCTGTAATATTTTACTTGATTTGCTTTATCCCATATCTGTTCATCTAGTCTAGTCATATCTCTGTCCATGAATGTATTATTTTCAAACATCCATACACTTCATTTAAGCGCATAAGTAATATATCATTAACCAAAGTTTAATATTCATTTATGGTTCTTTTTTTTTTTTTTTTTGAGGTAAAACTTGCATTCAGGGAAAGGTACAGATCTGTCTTATTTGATGAATTTTAATAAATGCATACACCTGTGCAACTCAAGCCCCCATCTAGATGTAGACTGCTCACACCGCCTCCCAGTCCCGCATGCTCTTCCCAACTGATCCTCTCATGTCCCTCCGCCCCCCTAGAGACAGCCACTTTTCTGTTATTTTTCCCCAGCCTAGTTTAGCCTGTTCTGGAACTTGAAATCGTGCATTATATACTTTTGGGTAAGGTCTTGCACTTGGCGTGTCTTTGAGATCCGTATTGTTGCACATATCTGTAGTTTGTTCTTTTGTAGCAGGGGTTTTTTTGAGTATCATTGTAAGTTCTCAGAGCATTGAGTTTGCACATAAGGTCCCTTTGCCAAATAGGAGGACTGCCATTGACCTCGCCAAACCATCCACAGAGGGGCAGGACATTTGGATGGAGCCAGATGGAAAATCAGGTCAATTCTACAGCCAGGCTCAGTTAGAAAACAACCGATTCTGTGAACGATCACTGGACTTCTTCGGGTTCACTCTAAAAACATCATTTTTTTCATTTCCTTAGAGGACAACAATGTACCCAATTGTATCTCCTATTTTTAACCCCCCAGTTGAAGATTCCTGTCTCTGGACCCAAGTCAGAGGGCCATCTCCATGTCATCTCATCGAGAAATGCTCCCTTTCAGAGGTATCAGCAAGGTGGGTGGGAATGGAGGAGAACTTTCTGATGGAAACAATCCTGATTCCCATTTTCATTTGTAGTGAAATGATTGCAGGAATAGGAATTTGTTTTTCAAAGCTTGAAAAGTTTCACAGCCTGGACACCAAGCCAGTGTGTTGGCTCTTAGCTCAGTCCAGACATTTTATCCAGTACAATCTACTGAATTGTCCTCTCCTTGTATTGCTGACTGGGAAGAACTTTCCAGTTACCGTGGTCTAGATCTACGATAATTGATGCTGTGTTACAGCTTCTAACACTACTGTCTCCCGGTCGTTACAAATGACTAAAGTCATGGGTTCCTGTTCCAGAATTATTCATCACATTCTTTATATAAGATCTCCACCCCATTAATTGGCTTTTCTTGTCTGGTTGCCAACAGCTACATTCACTCACTTCCCCCTCCGGAGGCCTCTCTCAGAGATGCTTGCTCTTTAGCCAAGATGCATTTTAATTCCCCAGGACAAAAGGCACAGGCGACCCTCAGGCAACCCCCACCTGCTTCCCCCTGGGCTCGTTGACCCCTGAGCCTGGGATTAATGAAGTTGCTGGCTGAGTTCCAGCCAAGAATCGGAGGTGGGTGTGAATTAGGAAATGGGGAATAAGCTGTTCCATCTCTTTCGTGGTGCCCCTTCCATTCTCCTGTCATTCATTCTTTGTTAAACTTGCCGTGACAGCGATGCTGGTGCAACAATGAGAGTCCGTAATACAATGTTTAAAACCTTATGTGAACGTAGCTCCAATATACAATGGTGTTGAAGACTTTTAAGACATTATTCAAAAAACGACTGCTTTCTTCCCCCCGCCACCCCGCCCCCCGACCATGTCTTTTGCCTTGGTGTATGTGAGTAGGGAGACTATTCTTCTGGTTTCTCTCAGGTGGCACCTTCAGGAGGTCTTCTTAAAGCTTGAGGATGGTCAGCAGATTCCCGTGTTCAAGCTCAGTGGGAACACTGGTCATGAAGTAGAAAAGGAGTAAAGATGATCAGAAAGACTCTGCTTGCTCCAAACACGGCCTTACCTCATCACCACGTGCCCTCCGTGACTGGGAGCCAGGTGTCCAGCCGCCAGGGGTGATGGGATGCTCTGGCATATGGTAATTTTGGTATAATTCTAATTTGACCACAACTACTGTGGGTTTTTTTTTTTAATCAGAAATGAAAATATTACTATAAATTTAATTGATAGTTCACTGTCTAAAAACAAAGTACAGAATAAAAGGACTCAGTAAGATATTTGTTAATTTTTGCTAGTTCTCATCTTTCCTTTTTCCTCTCCCCTCCCCCCTCCCCAGAGTTTTTAGTTCCATCAGTGAGAAGACCCAAGACTTACAAGCATTGAAGAAGAGGTCTTTAATTGTTAACATTAGAATGCCCTACCCTTAATTCATGTTGCTAAGTAGCTTGTGAACGTTGTCAGTCCCTTGGGAATATTTATTTTTTTTGCTTCACTGTTATTTTATCTTCTTATTTCTGTTTTAGTCACCAACGGTCTGCCTGATGGAAGATTTGCAAAATAACTGCTTTAATCCAAACATTTTAGAAGCTTAAAATATTCATATGTGTACATAGCACATGCAAAACTAACTTAGGAATGAGAGTTTAAAGCTACAGGTCCTTTTCCTTCTGTTTTACAGACAACCCCATATTCGAGAAGCACACCTTTAGGTTTTACCTGTTTTTAGGGAACAGTATTATGAAGTCAAAGATTTTCCTTCCCTCTGAGCACCGCAGCTGATGAAAACCAGAAATCTGATACCTTTGCTTTGAAAAGGCCAGTTTCACCCCTTAATGCGGTTACAATTGCCTACAATAAAGGACATTCATGAGCTCTTTTCCTACACTCTTAATATTCTTTGGAGGGAAGCCTTTTAGAAAATATTGAGCTTAAACATGCTGGGAGAGCATGAGACCTTTAATCGTTGGAAGTTATTTCTATTCTGGAGCTTGTTTCTTTAAAAACGTACGTTCTTTGAATAGAGTTTAGAGTGAAAAGTGAGTCTTCCCTGAGAGCACTTTTGCCCTGTGTTTGTTGATAGACACTATAATCTCTGCAGTCTTTTAAAGTAAATGGTAACGTTGTATACACAGTTTGTGCTGCTTTATTCTTTAAAAGTTACATACTGTTTATTGTCTATGTGTCAGTTTATGTATTGCTTCATATCGGATTGTTCTCCAACTTTTACTTCCTTACAGTGTTTGCTTGGTTTTCTTCATGCTGTTGCCAAATCACCGAAAACCAGGGCCTGGGTGGGCCATCTGTTCTGGAGTCAGAGCAAGTGACAGGTTTTGTTTGTGTAGCGTTTGAATTAATTAAGAGACTTTAATCTGACAGGAAATAGTATTAGATCATGAAAAGATGCTTGATTTCTACTTCAAAGTCACCACCTTGGGTGCTTTTTCCAGTTAAGTTTACTTCCATGTATGTACTTATTACTTTCTCGTATGATTGTGGGACAGGCCGGAACTTGGGTCATTGCAGTAGACAGACCTTGTCTTTCCTTGCTTTGAGCATAGCAATGATGTGTATTTGCAGCCCACTACTTCCTGTATATCCAGTAATCACTGTGACTCAGCCATTGACTCCCATTAACTACCTTGAGGACATCTTGTAATCCACACTGTCATCAGAGGAAAAAGCAACTCTTCCCCATAAGCAGTTTGAGCAAGTGCCCCTTGCATACCCTCAAATAGACAGGAGAGCCCAGGGACTGGAGAAAGGGCTTCACTAGAATTATAAGAATTGTAAAAAACCGGGGAAGAGAGAGCACAGCCAACAAATGGTAGTATGACTCCCCTGTGCCTTTCCCCTGCAAGATGTGGCATGCTCTCTCCCCTGGAAGTTGCTTACCAGCTGGCGTGCTGAGTGGGTGGGGAGGGACTGGAGAGTCAGAGTATTAGGATACTGTGGCAAAAGAGTTTCAAGCCGCGGTGCTGAAGTGATGGAGAAGCGTGTGTTACTGAAGTGGTGATGGAGAAGCGTGTGTTACTGTTGAGGAGGAAATCTAGGAGTCTGATGGGCCTTGAGATCTGAGACTTCACACAAGTGCAAAGAGCCAACACAAAAAAGGCCTTAGCGGGAGAAATGTGAGCTGTGCCCCAGAAATAAGATATCCAATTTGGCCAGGGTGGAGGTTAGCTGAAGACATAGTAAAAGAAAGCCCTGGAAAGGTAAGTTGGTCGTGGCATGTGCCAGCGTTAGCATTTTGCATGTGGCTTGTGGCCGTCGTAGATTTTGGAGTAAGCATAGGCTTCTACAGTTCAGGAAGGTTTAAGAGACCATGATGAATGCGTCATGACAGGGCCGGTAGGACTACCAATAAATCACACATTTTACTGTCAGTTATTCCATTGTTCAAGAATTGGCTTCCTCCCCCCTCTCTTTCCTTCAACCATCCCCAGTCCGGGGATTTAATAATACCTGATAAGGTCTTATTACTCCCGGCTTTGGTAAAGTTGCTTACAGCAGAGGTGAAGCTGAAATAAATTACATGTATATGAAACTGCCCGAACTTGACAAATAGTGGTCTCTGGTCTCCAGCCTAGTGGAAAGGTCAAGGGAACGCTCAATAGGCAGCAGCTCGAGGGTTTTCCGGGGGTGACCAGCCTTAGGCCACTTGACTCTGGTGTTTTCAGTTAGTCTGTATGAAAAATATGACTAAATACTTACCAAGCGCCTGGCTTACAAGTGAGGCAATGTTTACACTGCTCGTTGGGATTCTTGGGCAAAATCTGGTCCACACGGGAGGCCTGATGACCGCAGGGGTCAAGGAGGCGGCGGAAGGATGTTCAGAAAACCTCCAGTCCCCACCCACAGGATTCTCGCCTCCTTAGTAACCTGCTCACAGTCCAGGCTTGTCTTTTGGCCAACTTCAGCAGAGTCGTTCAGTTGTAAGTACTGTCAGGAGCATGTACAGAAAAACTGTGGCATTTTACAATCCCGGGTAGAATAGTGGGAGATGAGAAAACAGGCCTATCAGACAAGGGTATGTATCACAGATCACATGCAGTATTTTAAATGTCTCGTATCACTAAATAATAAGCCTTTGAGGCAGAAATTATTTTTCCTCCACCACATAGTACTTAGCTTTTAAATGTAGCTACCACATTAGTGTCAGTCACCTTGCAGTCTTAAGTAGTTATTACTTCCAAGTTAGTTTTATAAAGTGAGAAACTATAGACCAATCTCTCCCATGAATGTTGTTGCAAAATTCAAAGTTTTAGCAAACTGAGTCCAGTGACATATAGTAAGTGATCTATTGTATTATTTTCCACAAAATATTGTGGTGCCTATCCCTTTGCAGTGCCCCCCTTAATGAGAATTTTATATATCCCTGCTCTTGAACTTAGGTGTCACCCTGTGGCTTGTTTTGGCCAATGAATTTGTGAGTGGAAGTGACAGGCAAGACTTCCGAGTAGAAATTTTAAGCGCCAGCCCTTGGTTCCCCATGGCCTCTTTTCTCTCTTCCGTAAAATCAGTAATGTTCTAGACTGTAGCTACTCCAGGGGCTTAGGTTCTGGAATGAAGATGATATGTATGTAAAAGAGCTTACGCACGAGACAGGCAGCATGAACGAGAAATAACCATCATAAGCCCCTAAAATCAGGGCCCATTTTTACGTCAGCTTAATCTCTCCTATTGTAATTGTTAACATTGACAGAGAGAGATTTATTTCAGGAATGCAAGATGGTTCAATACATTAATAGAGCTAAGGAGGAAAATTATGATACTTTTGTAGATACGGAAAGGCACTGACATAGTAAAAACAAATGAGAATTGAGAGTTTCTCTCGCACAGGGGAGCGCATGCGCAGACGCCTATTCCCCAAAGCCGGTGTCTGACTCAACTGGAAAACTACCAGAGGTTTTTTCCGTTCAAGTCAGAAACAAGATAAGGATACACTGTATCCACTATTATTTAACATTGTGTTGTATCCAATGTACTTAGGCAAAAAATAAAAAAGCAAGAGGCCTAAAAACCAGGAAGAGTAAAGCAGGTGCTGTTTATGTAGATGAGATGATTATGTATCTGCAAAACCCAAAGAATCTGTGGAAACCTACAGAGTATTTAGTAGAGGATGTAAAATTAATATATAGAAACAATCTTCTTCACATATACAAATAATAACCAGTTAGAAGAAATAATGGCGATCAGACCCTATCTATGGTAGCAAAAACCAAATTATTTAGGAAAAAAACTTAGCAAGAAATCTGCCGAATTTACTTGAGAAGTGCTAAAACATTACTGACATATACAAAAGTACAACTGGACAAATGGAAAGACCTACCACATTCATAGATAGCAAGGTTCTTCATCGAAAGATGCCAGTCCTCTCGGAGTAAAATTTAATGGGATATCGATAAAAATAACATTAGGGATTTTTTAAAGTTAGATAAGCTAATTAGTTGTAAACTCATTAGGAAGACTAAGCAAAGGTAGCCAGGAAATCCCTGCAGAGAGCAAGAGCAAGGAGGGAGGGAACATACTTATAAATGAGTAATACAGTACTGACACATGAAGAGACGGTGCAGTGACACAGCATAGAAAATACAGAAGTATATCCAAGTGCACATGGAAACCTGGTTATGATAAGAGGTAGCATCCAAGTCGGGGGAGGAGTGGAAGACATCTGAAAAATGATGATAGCTGATAGCTAGATGCAAAAGATAAAAACCTGATCGCTACGCAAAAAGATAACCTCAGATCCGTTGTTCACCATACAAATTCCAATTAGATCAAAGATCTAAATGTAAAAATGAAACCATCTAGATACTAGCAAAAATATAGGTAACTCTTAGAACCTGGAAGTAGAGAAACTTTTCCAGCCACGAGTCACCATCTACAAGGGATAAGGGAAATTAATAAACTTGACTAGATAAAAACAGATTTCTGCATGTCTAGAAATAACAAAAACAAAACAAAAAGCAAGTGATAAACTGGGGGAAATATTTACATTTTTTTAAAAGATGTATTTATTTGAGAGAGGGAGAGTGGGGGTGGTTAGGGGCAGAAGGAGAGGGAGAGAGAATCTCAAGCAGACTCCCCGGCAAGCGCGGAGCCTGAAACGGGGCTCCATCCTGCAACCCCACGTGACCTGAGGGGAAACCAACAGCCAGACACTCAACCAACTGAGCCGCCCAGGTGCCCCAATGTTTACAATTTAAATCACAAAAGTTAATATCCTAATATCCCTAATTTGTAAAGAGCAAAAGTAGAGAAAAACAGTAACCCAGTAGAAAAAGGAGCAAAGGATACTAATGAATTCACAGAAAAGAAATGCAAATGAATTTTAAACATATTAAAAGAAAATGCTCAACCTCATTCTTAAAAAGAATGCAAATTAAAACTAATGATACCATTTTTCTTCAAGCAAATTGGCAATAATCCCTAAGTTTGAGAACCTACTTTCTTGAAAGGCTGTGAGGAAACAGGCTCTCTTAAATTGCTGGTGGGAATACGAGTCCTGTGGAAGGGAGCTTGACAATATCTAGAAAAATGTTATGTACCTTCACCATTTGACCCACCAATCCCCTTTCTGAGACTGTATGCTAAAACGAAGCTGGCAAAAATACAAAATGCTATTTACATACTATTATTTAATGAATACAATTTGTAATAGCAAAAAACTATAGTGACAAATCTAACCAAATATAACCAGAATATCCACCAACAAACTTTGAAACCTTTGATACTTTCACATAAATGAGTATATATGTATATGCATATTGTAAATGTGTGTTTATGTTTACATTAGCTTCTACTTTAAAGGAAACAATGGAGGGGCGCCTGGGCAGCTCAGTCGTTAAGGGTCTGCCTTCGGCTCACGTCTGGTCCCAGGGTCCTGGGATCGAGCCCCACGTCGGGCTCCGTGCTCGGCGGGAGGCCTGCTTCTCCCTCTCCCACTCCCCCTGCTTGTGTTCCCTCTCTCGCTCTCTGTCAAATAAATAAATAAAATCTTAAAAAAAAATTAAAAAAAACCAATGGAATAATAACTGCCTTAGGGAAAGCAAACAAGGTGATGTAGGTAGGGAACAAGGACAGAAACTATAATTACCTGAATGTACCTTTTTTGGTAGTTTTGTC